ATATTTATATATATATATACACATAGAGAGAGAGAGAGAGAGAGAGACAGAGAGAGAGAGAGAGAGAGAGAGACCTAATGTGAAGTGTCGGCTTAGGGTCTTTCCGGTTTGACAGTGGCGGGTTTGGGGGGCTTTGGGTATAGAGACTAGGGTAGGAGCTTTTGGACACGGCTGCTTCTTAAAGAAAAACCTTGCCGGAGGACCCTGCCATATTTTTGAGAGGGAAAGGCTTACGGTGAGAAGGATTCTTGCGACGAGGTTCATGGATGACCCTTAAGCCTAAACCTAAACACACCCTAAACCCCATTGAAGTAGTTGCTAAGGTTCAGTTTGGGGGAATGTTCGGCCTTAATTTGGCTCACGATGGTATAGGGTCGGAAGAAGCACTAGCAACTGTTCCCCTCATTCTACTAGAGCCTGAATCATCAGAATACGGATTGGATGCATTTTATAGCATAACTATAGTGGGACAAAAATGCTACGCTGTAATGTACCCCATAACCCCATTCTAATGATTCGGGCTTCTGTCCACAAACACACCAGGCCAGGGGCCTGCGTAACAAACTCGGGTTTCCGTTTTGGTGCGCATTATAGTAGGGTGTAGGGTTCAGTGTTACAGTTTCGGTTTTTGTTGGCATTATAGTAGGGTGTAGGGTCGAGGGTCTAGGGTTATAGTTACACATGGACTACAATGGGCTTTGTGTTCCAGGTTGTCAGGGTGGGACACGGTCTGATTGTCCTTCGGTTCCCGGGCATCGATGAAGCAACCCCTACGCCGTACCTTTCGGGTGACCCACACATGATACTGTCGCATAGCCCTTGCATTTCCCAGAGGGTCCAGATATACTACTGTTATGAAAATGGGCCCCAAGACCATTATAAGGTGGTCTTTCGGGGTTTCTTATTGGCAGAGTATATGGACCCTCTTCTGGGTTTGTTCTGCAGTATGACGCGCACCCTGCGCCCACCACCCTAAGCTCTTCCTAAGCCCTGTGGCCCTACAGCTTTATGCACCTGCCTTCTTCGAAAGTTTATGTTCTTCTCGATAGGTGAAGCCCCATCATAAGTATCCCTAGACAGGGGCGCCAAGAAAGGGCCCAATGGAGTTCTAATAAAGGTGTTACGCTGGTAAGGCTTGGAAAATCTGCATTATTCTGCCTAGGGTTCCTGAACCTTAGTCGTACAGAAATCCCAACATCCTTTGGAGAATTTCTTGAACAGACGAGGTCACAGACGTTCCCGTGCAGATGATGGACGTGCTTGGCACAGTGCCCCGGATCCCGAAGTTCACAGATAGACCCCACAGGCCCGAAACCCCAAAGGCGCTAAACCCCAAACCCTAAACTCAACAAAGAAAACCTAAAGTTTGGGGTTTAGGGCTTATGTGGCCTAAACTCTAAGCACCGAGCCCTCAACCCTAAACCCCAAACCGATACCGACCTTCCGCTCAATTGTCTAAGGAGAACTACTTCAGCCCTAAAGCCATATGAGCCCGAACCCCTTTTTAGCACTATGAGCCCTGGACTGTAATTGATGTTTGATAACTCGTGTTGCATCTTTAAGACCAGGCTGCCCCGAATTCGAGGACTGTCCATGCTTTTCGGGTGCCAAAAGCCAGTTGCATTGTGTTGCCGGCTTTTTCACGGTTGCCATAGGGCTCACAGGGGTTAGTACAGGAGGTAATCATAATTGGAAGAAGGCTGGAGGGAGCATATACCTACCCAGGGGTGAAGGTGTTGTTGGTACTGACGACTCAGGCCTTTAAATCACCGATGGAAAACCCTAAGCCCTAAACCCTAAACCCTAAACCCAAGAAGAGGATTGTGAGCAGTAGTTCAACCTCGAGGTCCCTACTGAAGGCGGTTTTTTTTGATCACTGTCTACCGGTGCAGGAGTTTTCCGACGCTGGCGCAAGGCATAGGACACGATGAGAAGACACCAGAACCAAGAAGCCCGACACGTTTTGGGCTTTTGGGTGTTTAGGGTTTAGGGTTACCCTAAACCCTAAACCCAGGTTTTGGGGCTAGGGTTCCGGGCAGAAACCTGAGACCCTGGTAGTTTAGATCTGCAAGTAGTTGTTCGACTTGCTTCCCAGCGCCATGGTTGTAGAACACGGAGTTCTTTAAGTAGGGTTCAGGGTTTAGGATTTAGGGTTTAGAATTTGAGGGCCAAAGTATCAGCATATTAGGCTCCCTATTAGTGCGCTTGTACGCGTTTTGTTTGGGGGCTTCCTTCTGAAACAAGAACAACAATGGCCAAAGGGCTGCCTCAGTTTGGAGCAGTAGGTCATTGGATCCCTACTTAGTTTGTCAGGGGGGGGCTTTGAAAGTAGTTTCAAGTGTAGTGGCCCTAACCATAGCCCTATCTCTTAAACCCTAAACCCTAAACCCTAAACCCTAAACCCTTTACATGCTGAGGCGCTTCCTTACATCGGCTTTGATGCTGGTGGTCGGCAGGCCCGATCCTCACGACGTGCGGGCGGAAGAAGTGCAGCACAGGGCTGGCTCGGGGTTTAGGGTTTGGTTTAGGGTTTAGGGTTTAGGGTTTGGTTTAGGGTTTAGGGTTTAGGGTTTAGGGTTTAGGGGTTTAGGGTTTAGGGTCTTTAGGGAGAAGCCTGAATCTCTGCTGCTAGTTCCAGCTTGTTGCTCGAAACTGTAAGCTGGGGTGCGGGGTGGCCCGATTCTTGAGATTCCCTAAACCCTAAACCCTAAACCCTAAACCCTAAACCCTAAACCCTAAACCCTAACCGAGTGTGTAGGATTGATGTTTGATTGTCGTGCTGGTCGTGATGAGGCTTGAGGGCTAGTCTGGAAATCGCAAGCCCCAAGGCCTAGATCAACACCTCGGCGCCTAACCGTAATGCGCAAACCTTGGCATCCTAACTGCTTCCCCCGTTTATTAAGCACCCCCCCCTTAATAATAAACACACATTGGGGCGAATCCTCCCGAAATCATCCCTGCCCTTTAAAACCTATTCTGAATTAGGGCGAGGGTTCCCAAGCTCAAAATGCCCTTGGAGCACAGTAAGAGCACGATCAAGGGCAAGGGCAGGAGTTAGAGCAAGAGCAGGATCAAGAGCAAAACCCTAAACCCTAAACCCTAAACCCTAAACCCTAAACCGTAGCAGTAGTAAGAGCAGCAGCAAAAGCGGGAGCAACTAAACCCAACCAGCAAGATTCTGCTGGCAGGACCTCTGGCCTCTGCTCTTGTCTTGTCTTTGGTTGATGACCCGGGGTGTAGGCTTCAGGGGTTTAGGGTTTAGGGGTTTAGGGTTTAGGGGTTTAGGGTTTAAGGTTTAGCAGGTTTCCGGAGATTGATTGGCAATTGGGGTGGTGTCTAACTTAGCTCGATGTTATCTCCACGAGGATTGGAAATCCGCGGCTTAGAGTCTATATGCAGGCTCGTTCGTTGTCTGCAACGACACTGTGTTGAACAGATCGAAATGATGGTGTAGGCGCTCAATTCACGTTCTGGCTCTTCGGCACTTGACATACACAGACAGAGAGACAAAGACAGGGACGGCGACAGAGACAGATAAAGAGAGTGCTAGGAGAGCCGTCAAGCCCTGAACCTCGCCCATGTAGGGGCCTAGCGTTAAGGTATAGGGTTTAGGGTTGTTTGTGTTCTCACGTGGCAGTTGTTTCATTTGCGTTTAACTAAAGCAGCTTTAACATTCATCGTACCTCGCAGGTCCTGTTCCAGACGTCCTTCGTCTTGGCGGTGCAGTTCGTCTACCTCGCCGCTGGCGGCATCAATGTTTCGATTTCGGGCTCTCCCTTGCAAAAGCAGACCTATGTAGGAGTTTAGGAGTCTTGCTACTTCTGCCCTGAATTACCCATAAACCCGTTCAGCTCAACTCTCAAAACCCTAAAGATGAGTGGGAAATGGGTTTCGGCTGCAGTGAGAAGGCCCAAATCAACAGCGTAATGTGCGGCTGCTCGCGGTTACTCTACAACAGAACGGCATTCACAACACCCAGCCTAATCTTTCGGGTTCAGAGTCTAGGCTAATCCGTTTGCCCAAACCCTGTCCCCCCTACCCCTACATGGAGGTTCTGGATTAGCTAAATTTTGCTGACTGCAAGACCTGTCGCACTCACAGGCATAGTTCTCAAATGAGTTTCATTCCCCCTGATCATCCACGTATGTAGACCCTAAGCAAAATGGATCCGAAACACCAAGGCTTTTAAACCCTAAGCCCTAAACCTCTAAACCCTAAAGCCCTGGAGCTCCCCCCAGTCGTAAAACCGCAACCCTCGACATCCAAGATTCTGGCCGTCATCCGCGTGCTGCTTCACTACGTGATGCATGAGCGCTGTATCAAGAAGTTCCTCGAGCTGAATGGGTTCCCTATTTTCGGGTCCTTTTTTAAAGAGTGTTGTGCTATATTGGGGACCTAAAAAGGGACCCTACTTCAGAGAACTACCCGAATAGGGCTTAATTGGGTTGAGGGCTTGTGGGGCAAGGCTTAGGAAGCGTTTGAGGCAAGTGCTGAAATGCGATTAAGCTAGGGTACCAGGACTTCTGGAGTTTTGGGTTTAGGGGGAGGGGGGTAGGGTTTAGGAGCCCGGTCAGGGTGAACTCTTTGTTTCGGGTTCAGGAGCCTGGGCTTGGCTCGTTTTTATTCTTCACTTCTCCATGGCAAAGATAAGCTGCCCTACAACAATCGTAGAACAGACCTCGAAGCTCTACAACCTTGTTCTAGCTACCTAGGCTCTTGCATTGCTTCGGTCCCTTACAAGAACCTGCATGCACCAACTTTAGGGCTAATCCCCATAATACTGGAGGCAGAGCCGGTTATGCTGTGGGGTTCGGGATCATGATCATGCTAGGGGATTCAGGGTTTATACAAGACTCAAAAGGTTGGTGGTAGGGGCTCTAGGGTTTAGGGTTTAGGGTTTAGGGTTTTCCAGGAGCACCCAACGGGGCCTTGCGACCTCCAACAGCCCTAAATCAGCAAATATCCTGAAGCCCTACATCCCAAATTCAACACTGAACGAGTCCACTTGTAAGCCGCGAAGCCCTATCGTTGAGTACAAAGGTCGGCATACCCGGTAATAGTATCCGTTTATTACATGGTAGCACCTATACTGGAGTATACCCCAAAGCCTGTGCGATTTCAGAGAACTTCAGAAAGCTGTTTTATCATCGGTTTAGGGTTTAGGGTTTAGGGTTTAGGGTATCTGCAGAATCCTACTCTAAGAAGTTGCCCCTGCAGTAGGGTGTTTACGGCCTCCTTTGGCCGTCAAGCAGCGGAAGAAGGCGGTCATGTGGACTTTAGGGTTTATAGGGTTCAAGTAGTAAGGTAAGTCACCTTTACATTCTCCAGGTTAGAAAAAAATCCCGACGATGACCCATGCAGACGGTTGGAAGATACCTCCGTGATGACAAGCTGACTGCTGGGGAGCAATAGGGGCCTAACTAATCACCAAAACTTTTTTTGGGGGCTCCTTATTCTAGTGATAGTATAGTGGGCCCCAAAACTCTATTCTAATTATTAACGCCCCTATATTACACCCTCTCAGCGTTGCTGAAATGCAGACTTGATGCTCACACGTTGGTTGGCATGGGCTGTCACTGAGCTCTCTACCCTCCACGAGATGGAAGGGTTTAGGGTTTAGGGTTTAGGGTTTAGGGTTGAAGAGCTCCTGATCCTAAACCCTAAACCCCCAAACCCCTAAACCCAAAGCCCCAAACCCCAAAACCTCATCCACTGAAGCCATCTGTGTGGTGCGTCTTCTTAAACTTGTAGTTCCCTTACCCAAGGGGCCCAAAATACCCACATAGTCGAAAGTAGGATTTGAAGCAGGCATTATTATCATTGCAATTATGGTTAGATCCCCCATGTTGCCCTATAGGTGCTTAGGACCCTTTTGGTTAGGAAATTGGAAAAGCACAGGGCTTTCTAGTACTTTGTACGGACTCAGTCAGTGTGGTCCCGCTTGGAGGATCATCGGACTTAGTAAGATACCCCTAAACCCCTAAACTTCTATACCCTAAACCCCTAAACCCTAAACCCTAAAACCCTAAACCCTAAACCCCTAAACCCTAAACCCTAAACCCTAAACCTCTTCAGGATCTACGATTGGATCTTCGCAGTCGTTCTATGCCTCGAAGTGCTCGGTTTCATGGCTTGGGTGGGGCCCTCGAGGGACGGGACGGGTTCGGCGTGCTCTGCCCTAAACCCTAAGCCCCCAAACGCTAAACCCTAAACCCAAGCGCAAACCCTAAACCCTAAACCCTAAACCCAAACCCTAAACCCTAAACCTGAATCCTAAACCCTAAACCCCAAACACTGAACCCGAAACCCGAAACTCCGAAACCCTAACCAGGCAGCGTCCTGTCAGTTGAAGGTTGCGAACATCTTGCAACCTGGACCCCGAGCCCGAAGCCCCGCATGCCATTTAGATACGTGGGTAGTTGTCAAAATTATGGTCACTTTTGGGGTACCCTATATATTAGGTGCCGTATTATAATAACTGGGGTTTAGGGTCGAGGATGGATGGATGGATGGATGGATGGATGGATGGATGGACGGATTGGATTAGATTGGGTTAGACTAGATTCACTAGACAGACTAGATTCGGTTAGATTAGATTAATAGATAGATGGATAGATAGATAGATAGATAGCTGCATAGCTGCAGAGATAGGTAACCGTTTAAAACAGAAGCTGCCAGCATATTCGACAAATTAATGAGACATGCCATTCACGCATGTATTTAGGTCTACTTTTTGTGTTATTTTGATGTTTAATTTGTTTACGTCTTGTTTATATATATATATATGTGTGTGTGTGTGTGTGTATGTATATTTGACATGGAGACAATGCAGGTCGGTCTGACGGCAGCATGGTGCATTCTAGCGACGATCCTGTCTCCGACGAGCTATCTGCCTTATGGCACGGTTCGGGGCCCCAGTCATGCTAGGGTTTAGGGTTGTGGGGTTTAGTGTTTTGGGGTTTAAGGTTTGGGGCTCAGACCCTAAACCCTACCCCTAAACCCCTAAACCCCTAAACCCTAAACCTTAAGCCCCCAAACCCTAAACCGCTCTAGGTGTGGAGTTTAGGGCTCCTCGTCAAGTGGTGCTGTGAGCCAGTCTAGGACATTTTCAGGTGGGTAGCTACCGTTATAGGAGCCTTATAGAAGGTCTATATACATTATGGAAGCCTTACAGAAGCCCTATATACCCTTAACTCCCCACCTTGGGGCTTTTTGCTGGCCGTAACAGGGGCTTGTAGGGTTCGTTGCAGGGTGTGAGGGTGTATGAAGATAGGGGCCTGAATACTTACCTATACGGGCTCCTTATTACAATTCTAGTATCGTATACTCCCAAAGCCTATTCTAGTTGTTAAGTCCGCTACGTGAAACATGTGCGACGTACCGCTTTGGCCCGAACCCAGAGCTTCACGGCCCAGCTGACACAACAAGCATCGGCGAATGGCCAGTGCTTTGAGAGATGTCTGTGAGGCCCAGCTCCAGTTCAAGGACGAGTTGATGGTGGAGGTGAGGGCTTAGGATGAGCTCTATGAGGAAACGAACTCCTTCCCAAGATTCGGTGCATCCTCCCACTTGAGGCTGTTGGCCTCGCGTAATACGTCTGGAACCCTAAGCCCTAGGCCCTAACCCTAGACGGAATTGCATGGAGTGGGCGAAGCGGCCAATCCTGTGCAGTCTCTAAATGCTTTGCTGGATGGTCGTTTCCTTGCCGGGGCGGCCGATGTTTCGATCTTTTCTGAAACGGCTGCCACCTACACGTGTTAGTCTCATCGTAGATAGATGGTCAATCATACCTTATGTAGCCCAGTATATAGCTGATTACGGAGGTAGCTGGACAGCTACGGCTTAGGCTTACAGGTCGGTAGATTTTGGCCATGACGGCCTCTGTATCAAGCGGCTTAACATAAAACGAAACCAACGCCCTCCTCTATCACCAGAAAGGTGCTGTGCTAGACCCGTAAATAGCATGGCCCCACTTAAACCGGAAGAGCCACCCTAAGCCCAAGACTGCCCTAGACCGTCCCTGAACCCTGAGGGTTCAGGGCTTCAGGGTCTAGGGCTTAACCTCATAAAACCTCAAACAGCATCTACAAGGGACTGACGTTCAAGAGATCCCTATAGCTAAGGCCGTGATCGTCTTCTGCTTGGTCATCTTGAGTCTCTGGAAGGACCGGACTTCCCGGAGTCGTGGTAGGGAAGGAAGGGTTTAGGGTTTAGGGTTTAGGGTTTAGTCTGTATAGTGTAGTCTGTTCCAGCAGGAATCTACGTCGGTTACCGTGAGGTAAGCACAAGGAATCATCCCTGCACCGCCTTGAATGGTCAGAGCGTAGGACTCGAGGCGAGTTGGCGTTTTCGAGGTTGAGGTCTTTACGGTTTATGGTCTGATTAAGCCCCTAAACCCTAAACCCTAAACCCTAGATTTTGATGTTGTTTATTAATGGTGTATGGGTTAAGTTAGGTGTCAGGGCAAGGCCGCTTTGCCAAAGCCCGATTTGGGAAAGCCTGTGCAGACCTCTCACTCATGTATGGCGGGCGTGGAAGTTCTCGAAACTTGCGATGTTTGGTCTGGATGAGGTTTCAGTTACTGGTTTTCTTGATGTCGGCCTTGGGTAGGGTCTAGATGAGTTGTTTGAGGCTTTAGGCCTACATGGGCGCTTCAAGTTGCAACGGTGGCCTTAAGCCTCAGGGCAGTTTAGGATCCAATCCTCATCCAAACAAACTGGATGCAGCAACAAACATATTGAACTCCATTCTCGGTTTGCCAATGGTCTCTGCCAGCTCAACCTTATACTCTGCTGTGCCCTCCGATCCCCGAGAACCCTCAACCCTAAACCCCAAACCCTAAACCCTAAACCCCTAGAGCCCTAAACCCCTAAACCTTACACCCTCAACCCCTAAACCCCCGAACCTCCTAAAACCTAAAGCCTAAAGCCCCAAGTCCAAAACCCACAGATCCCCCATGCCCTAAACCCCCAAATCTTAAGCTCTAAGCCCCTAAATCTTAAACCCAAAAACCCCTAAACCCTAAACCCCTAAACCCCAAAACCCACAGATCCCCTAAACCCCAAACCCCTGAAGCCTAAAGCCCTAAACCCCAAACCCACAGATCCCCCAAGCCGACTCCTCGACCTCTCATCTCCCGCAAGGCCCAGAGACTCTTATCTCCCCTAATTATGGAATATACCTTAAATCATATTAGGGATCCTATTATAATTTAAGGTATATTCCTTAATTAAGGGATGTTGGAGTCTCTGGGGGTTCCGCATCCCGAAAAGGGTTGATCGCTCCCACTCCGACAGCCCGAAAATCCCAAGCCCCAAAGGCCGGATTCAACATCGATTTAAGTGGGGGCTAATATAGGTTTAAGTGGGTTTGATATAGATTTAAATACTACGGATTTACGTGGGTTTAATATAGATGTTAAGTGGTTTAAGTTTAAGTATAGGTTCGAATGGAATTTAATCTTAATTCATCGTGTTTCGTTTGTTTTTGCCTCAAGCCCTCACACCCTGAACCAGAAACCCCAAAAGACCCCAACGGTTCCAAACAGCTTCAGGTCTCACCCACAGACTGCGCAACTCCTTAAGCTTAAAATCATGACAAGGATCCTAATCCTAAGCCCGAACCCCAAACCCTAAACCCAAAACCCTAAACCCTAAACCGTAGAACAAGGATCCTCGCGTTGTTTAAGGTCTGTTCCTTGGTTACCGGGTTTTAGAGCCCTTGGCTGCCCCGAAGCAGGAGCTGACGGCGACTGCCGCCTCCATGCAGAAGAAGGCAAAGCGGGTGATCTTTGGATCTTTGAGTGACGTGAAGGTGTATCAGAGGCTTATCTGATGTGTTCAAAGGTTTTGACAAGTTTGAGACGAGTTCCTAGGCTAAGCCCTAAACCGTGTAGGGTGTTAGAAGGTTTTGACACACTTTGGCGCAAGTTATTCGGTTTGGTCAATATGGAGGGGGGGGGGGGGTCCGCAGAGTTTGGGCCCTTTGCAATAAAGCCACCACCCCGTCAGCCCCCCAATAAGAACCCTTAAGCCCTGCAGCCCTAAACCCTAAAACCCTAAACCCCTAAACCCTCAACCCTGAACCCCTATACCCTAAACCCTAGTCCCTGGAATCCCTTGGGTTTTGTTTAACACTCAGGGCCCTCAAGCCCTGGGGAAGCTCGACAAGTCCCTGCAAAGCATGGACAACCAACTAAACCACCAGGCCCTTTGGCTTCAGCTAATAAGCTAAGCACCCTACTTAAGGGGTCATGAGATTTAGCAGGACCATAAGTAAGTATAGGTGTAGTTGCCCGGTGCCCTAATTACAGCCAACTTAAGCTTTACCAAGTTCTTATGCTACACGAACCTACTTCATGTTGTGGTCTTAGGTTGCTGACAAAACTACCCTAGACCCTGAACCCTGAACCACCACAAAACTACCCTATAGTAGAAGCCCAAAAGTTGGAAACCCAATAGCCTCAATCCTTAAGAGTAATGTAAAGGGAGTCCCAGCACTATTTGACCTTAATCCGGTTTCCAACTTTTTGGGGTTTACTATACACCCCTGTACCGCACTACTTGGATCACCCGGGATGGGGAGCGACACAACTGGAGCAACGCTGCAGCCTGTACGCCGCAGTATGGCACCTCACCTACGACCTCGTGGTACTCCTGATGTGCGACCTGGTCACGATTAAGTACGACATCGTGGTGGAGCTGGTGGAGTTGAATTGGATGATTAGGAGGAGGAGAGAGAAATGGAGGAGAATGACGGGCAGGATGAAGATGGTGAAGACTGAAAGTGGATGGCGAGATGGACGTCTTCCTCCAGAACATTTGGTTTCACTGTGCACGCCTTCGTGGCGGGACTCTTGTGCGAGCGAAAGTCCACTGCATTTAAAAAAACCCTCATAAGACTACCTTACACCCTAAACCGTCGTAAAACTACCCTGGGCCCCAAACCTTAAACCCTTCAACCCTACACCCCCCATCCGCCCTTATATTATATTCCGGTCTAACTCTAAACGCTTCACCCCTAAAACCCTAAACCCTAAACCCTAAACCCCTAAATCCTTATCCTCAGGTCTTTGCCATGGTCGACGAGAAACTCCAGGGATGCTTGAAGGCGGTGAAAGACGTGGCCCGGCAAGAAGTCCGATATTGGTTTAGGGTTTAGGGTTTAGGATTTTTTTGAGGAGGGGGGGGTTAGATTTTAGGGGGTTTAGGGTTGAGGGTTTAGGGTTTAGGGGGCTTGGGGGGTTTAGAGTAACCCATTAAACTTGGAGTTTAGGGTTTAGGGCTTGGGGGGCATTTTGGGTTCACCCATGAAGGGGGGTTCAGGGTTTAGGGGTTTAGGGGTTTAGTGTCGGAGTTGGGAGGAATAGGGGGTTTAAGGGCTGTCATAGGGCTCTGGAATAGTGTAGGAAACTGATTCAGAAACCCTGGCCCTATCACCCCACTATATTAGGGTTCATGATAAGATCCCCTAATAAAGGCCCAGGGTTTCTTGCTCAGGTTGCTATATTAGTGTGTTTCTAGGATTGCTTACGGCGGTGTTTAAGCGCTTCGCGCTTGGCAGGGCTGATTCAGAAAGAGGCAACGTAGGTTAGTCTTTTGGGGAGTAGGGTTTAGGGTTTAGGGTTTAGGGATACGATTATGGTGCACATGTATCCCTCGGGCCCCCCCTAAGGCGAATGGCAGAACTACACATCTAGAGTTTTAGGGTTGGGCTTTCGGGTTTAGGAGGATTGGACGTGGTTGGGGTTCTTAGGGTTTTACGATGTTAGGGTTTAGGGTGCCTTGGCTGAAGGAGTTCCATGTCAGTCTCCGCTTAGGGGGAGTATCTTTACATCCGCTTCAGCTTGATGAGAAACCCTAAACCCTAAACCCTATTCTAATTATTGAGGGCTTGCATAGCTCCAAGGCTCTAGTTTAGCTTTAGGGTTTAGGCTTCGGGCCTTTGGGTTTTAGAGTTTAGGTTTATGGTTTTTAGGGTTTTTAGGGTTTAGGGTTTTTAGGGTTTAGGGTTTAGGGTTTTTAGGGTTTGGGGCTTGTAGGGTTTAGGGCCGTTTAGGGCTAAGGGTTTGGGGTCTATGTGTGTTGGGTTTAGGATAGCTCTGCGGCTAAAGTAGTTGCTCAGGCTCTAGGAGTCTAGGGTTTAGGTGCGAGTATTCGGACAATACGTCGCACACTAAATCGTTATAACCCCACAGAAAACCCAGGAACCTATCGCAAAACAGCACACAAAGCCCTATATCCTGAACCGTGGACCCGAAACCGCAAACCCTAAGCCAAGCCGAAGCCCTAAATCTTAAACCCTAAACCCAAAATCCTAAACCCCCAAACCCTAAACCCTAAACCCCTAATCCTAAACCCCAAACCCTAAACCCCCCAAACCCTAAACCCTAAACCGTAAACCCCCAAACCCTAAACCTAAACCCCTAAATCCCCAAACCCTAAACCTAAACCCCTAAATCCCCAAACCCTAAACCCTTAAATCCCCAAACCCTAAACCCTTAAATCCCCAAACCTTTCAGGAGATGGAAATGCAGAGCCAGAGCCAAGCCATGGTCGAGGCTCTTGGCCCCTGGGGCGCCGAACATACGGGGTTTAGGGGTTGAGGGTTTCGAGTTGAGGGTTTAGCGTTTAGGGTTGAGGGTTTAGGGTTGAGGGTTTAGGGTTTAGGGTTTAGGGGTTTAGGGGTTTAGGGGTTTAGGGTGGCCCTTCAGTGTTGGAAATAGGGTTTTTTTGAGGGCTTAGGGTATAGGGCTTGAGGGTTCTATGAGAGTTTCGACGAAGCTTCTCTAACATTTGGGGCGTTAAAAAATTGAGCTTCAACCCTACACTCTGAAAGCTTAACCCTAAACCGTGTCAGGTTCTGGGGCTGAGGGTTTCAGGTGAGGGGCCTTAAGAATCAGAGCCGGGTTCCCTTTAGGGGTCCCGTTCTGTGGGCGCCTTAACATCTTCGAATAGCCTTTGGGGGCTGGTATGGTATGAGGGTCCTACTTTAGGGTTTTGATGCTATTGGTTTAGGGGCCTTAAGCACTAGAACTGAATTGTATATGAGGACTGCTGTAAGCAGGGCTACTTTGTATATGACTTAGACCTTGATAATTGGTCTTGGGGGTACTGTATAAGGGCCCTGTGAAGGGTTGTAATGTAGCGCTTTTTATATGCATGAGTCAGCATGAGCCTTAAGAAACAGAGTAGGCTCCTTTTAAAGGTTCCTGGGACTGAAAGGGCTGTTATAATGGTTCACATAGGATAGCGGCCTTAGTAACAAGACTAGGGCTTGGAGGCATATTTTGGTCTTGTTACAATGATGAATCCTATAGCCTGGCTTTGGCGTTTACATTACCGTTTTGTCTGAGGGCTTGATTGCTTCGGTTGTTCGAACGGGTTATTTTTATGTGCAGATATACAAGAATGAGTACGTAAGTACGTAAGCAAATATGCACATGAGTAAATAAATGAATACATAACCAACGGAAATTACATATGTTTGTAAAGGTGATATTCGGCTGCAGGATTCGAAAGGGCTTTGCACCACGAAAAGGAATGATAGGGTTCGAACTGCCATGTCTTAGAATTACAACTTGGTTTCGGGGCGGAGGTTTCAGAGGCTTTTGGGATGGTTTGGGGGCCTGCCGGGTTTAGGGGTTAGGGTTTAGGGGGTTGGAGGGTTGGGGTTTCGTATGCAGGCTCGCAAGGTTTTGGAGTGGGGTTCTGACGTCCTGCTTTTGCGGGAGCTGTTCTTTCAAGCCTTGAGCATGATTTAAGCATCTCTCCACCAAAACCCAACCCCTAAAGCCCTACAGCCCTTGCCATCGAATTGTTATAGAGCCCTGAACTTAACAGAGCCCTGAAGGAGCCCTTAGCACAACCCTAAGTGCAACCCAACCCTCAAACCCTTAACCCTGCTGCGCCTACTAAAGCCCTAAACCCCTAAAGCCCTAAACCCCAAAGCGCTAAGCCCAAGACCCCAAAAAGCCCTGACTTGACAACCCAGGAAAGCTCAAGGCTGAGAAGAAGAAAGCTGCCAAGAAGGCCAGGATTTGAATCCCTACCATATGAGGCGGCTAAGGTTTAGGGCCGTCTAGGGAGGTACAAAGGTTTAGGGCTCTTAGGACCCTAAACCCTAAACCTTAAACCCTAAACCCTAAACCCTAAACCTTAAACCCTAAACCCTAAACCCTAAACCATAGTGTATCGGCCTTTGCAAGCAGATATACGGTTTCTTGTGAAGCTAGGGTGAACTAAGGGTGCGGTGGGTCAACTCGCGAGCATGTGACATCTTGAACTCTACAAGCCCTTCGGCCTAAATGCCTGGACCCTAAAGTAGTTCTTTTTGGGGGTTTAGGGTTTAGGGTTTAGGGTTTAGGGTTTAGGGTTCGTATATAGAACCCTATAAGGTAATCCCAAAAAGGAACTACGATGGGGCCTAGGGGCCTTCGGCCTAAATGCCTGGACCCCCAGGTGGATGAGTCGCAGTCCGGTTTCAACCCTAAACCCTAAACCCTAAATGCCTAAACCCTAAACCCAGAGTCCTAAACCCTAAACCCTAAACCTTAAACCCTAAACCCTAAATGCCTGGATTTCAGGTGGATGAGTCGCAGTCCGGTTTCGATGAGTATCAGCAGGAGAAGAAGAAGCGAAAGGCCTGGCTCCCGGTTTGTCGGTTGGTTCGGGTTTAGTGTTCAGAGTTCAGGGTTTAGGGTTTAGGGTTTAGGGTTTAGTAGGGCTCTGGGTTTAGGGTTTAGGGTTCAGGGGTTAAGGTGTTTATCGCCATCTACTCCCTATAGTTGGTCTTAGGGGCTGAGTAGGTAACCTTTAACCTTTTGGGGCTCATATAATCCTACTATAATTGCAAAGGTTAACCCTTTTTGGGCTAGGCTACTCAGCCTCTAAGTGGTTTGTCCGGGAGGGTTACAGCGTCCCTCGGCTCAGGCCTTCACGGCCCATGGGTGTACGATTTTAGGGTTTTGGGGCTTGTGCAGTTTAGGGTTGTTTAGGGCTTTAGGGTTTTTTGGGTTTTAACGGTGTTTTTTCGGTTTTAGGGCTTTAGGCTTTAGGGTTTAGGGTTCTTAGGGTTTCGGGTTTAGGGTTGCATCTCTAACGGTTTGAAATTGACGTATCTGCTGGAAGTGTTTTGGGATGTCGACTCTACCGGGGGGGGGGGGGCAGTGTTCAGGGTTGGAAACAAGGCTTAGATTAGAGTTTAGGGTTTGGGGTTTTGGGGGCTCTTATAATTTAGTAGTAATCTGAAAGTTTAACCCTTTGTCTCCCTTGCTTCTTGGGGAGCTAGGAGGGTGGGAACTACGAGTGAGAATGTCCCGCTGTCGTCCCTAAACCCTAAACCCTAAACCCTAACGTCTTTGTCACTGTAGTTTGCCGACCCAAAGCCTGAAACCCGAAGCCCTAGCCCTAAATTCTAAACACGCCCTAAGCCCTGAACCCGAAACCCTATAAGCCCTAAACACACCGTATTCAGAGGACTAAAGCTGGTGCCCGTATCAGAACTTAGGAGTTCCGGACAGACCCAAAGCTGCAGCATCCAAGCTTCCGAGCGTCTGCATGCAAGAGTTAGGGGTTTTATAAAGGGGGCCTTAATAATTACCTATACTGTATTGGGGGTTCCTTACTATAAATATCGTATAATATATCCCAAAACCCCATTCTAATTATTAAGGCCCCTAAATTAGGCTAATCTAGGGGCCTCAGTTTTAATTAGAAGACGGCTTCGGGGGTATGTTCTACTATCCCGTGCAATCGGGAACCAGAAAGATCCTGTTGAAAACAATTTAAGGCCCGTGCAGTCTCGGGCGTAGGGGTTCCAGGTTTGAGGTTTTGGGGTTCAGAGTTGACGAATTTAGGGTCGAGGCTTCGGTGTTTCTTTTTGTATAGAGGCCTAAATAATTACCTAAACTATTTTTTTTGGGGGGTTCTTACTATATTTATAGTATGATACACCCCAAAGGTCTATTCCAATTATTAAGGCCCCTACATTACAGTAATCGCCGCAGGTCACTCCTGGAGATGTCTTTTGCACCCTGGATGCAGACTCCACAGGCACGCTGTCCATCGACGAGTTCAGGCGGGGCATTTAAGTGGGATGTAGGCAACTACCGTGTAGTAGAGTATCGGTAGCGTTTAACCCTTTTGGGTACTATCCTAAACCCTAAACCCTAAAGCGGTACTATGATTTCTATATAATCCCGAAGGTCAATGTTCAGGCTCCCCAGGATACTGCTTACTGGAGAGGTCAGATTTAGTGAGTGTAGGTGTTCGTGCTACCTCGCCTGTGCCCTTGAAAGCGGGCATTTGAGGGTCAGGGGTGGCCCTTCTCGATTCTCTGAACTTCCTGAGCGATGCGTCTAGCCCTATTTAGGGTTTAGGCCCTAAGCAATAAACCCTAAACCCTTAGGGTGTGCCTGTTAAAATTGCTTTCATGCCCCAGATCACCCACTCTAAGCCTAAAGCCAAAGACAGGAAGCTTTTCGTCGCGATGGACTCTACTATGGACCCCAAGTCCATCGACAAGATGCTCCTGAGCTTCAACAGAGGGGTACTTTCAGGTCCCCAATATAGTCCCTAAGCCTTAAATCCTAAACCCTCGGTGGGGCCCTAAACCCTGAACCCTAAACCCTAAACCTTGACCCCTAAACCCTAACCCCTAAATGGGACCCTAATTTAGAAAACTGCCCAGACGGACGATTGCGTGCGTGTATGGCTTTAAGGTTAAAAGTTGAACGAACCTTAAAGCTCTAAGGGTTTGGGGTTTCAGGTTTCAGGGTTTAGGTTTTAGGGTTTAGGCGTGAAGAATTGCTAATATTTGTCGTTTGGTTCCCTTGTTATAAGGGAGCCCAAAACCCTACTCCAGTCATTAAGGCCCTTACGTTATTCCCGACAGGGGCATCAGGGTTGGAGCTGACCTTCAGGGTTTAGGATTTAGGGTTTGGGGGTTATGTTGTGTTGCTTGTGACAATTGTGTGGGGTTGGGGGCTCGGGTGCTGGGGGATTCTTACGAGGGTTTGTTCGAACCTTAACCACTCACGCTAAACCCGGAAAAGCGCAAAACGCCGAAGCCCTAAACCCTAAAGCCTGCTAGCCTAAAGCTTTCAAGCCCTGTCCTATTCCTAGAGACCTAAAGCCCTAAACCCGAAAAGGCAACATCTGACACCCCAAAAACCCGAAAGGACATTAACTCAAAGCAAGCCCGCGAGCCGAACACCGCAATTCCAACACAGTGGCCTGCTATTTGGAGTAGGGCTTTGAGAGTATTATAAGGTACATTATACGACAATATAAATACAGACTGGTAGGAAGCTAAGAAGCAGAACCAATAGGTATTCAAACCCAAATTCTTTACGGCCTAAACCCTAAATCCTAAACCCCAAACCCTTTCATGTAGAAGCCTAAATAATTACCCATATTATTCTTAGGGTTCTTTAGTATAAATATCTTATAAAGAAGCCCCAAACCCTATTCTAATCATTAAGGCCCCGACATTACGGCCGAGGTTTGCCTACGCCGACTCTGATGGTTCGGGCCTGGTGAGCCAGGCGTGGTGGGGGATAAGGGTTTGGAGTTTCGGGTTTAGGGTTTAGGGTTTAGGGTTTAGGGTTTAGGGTGGGATAAGGGTTTGGAGTTTCGGGTTTAGGGTGAGGGATCCGTGGCTGTTTTCTTTTGACAAGGGCTTCGTGCAAGGGGCTGGGCTTTTATACAGGCTTTTGCAGGGGGTTATTGGGATTTGGACTCTACTGCTGCCACAGGGGTTATCTGGGTTTTATATGTGAGGGATCAGGGTTCAGGATACAGCGGTTTCGTATTCGGTGTAGTATCTATCTGGAGCTTAAAGTTGGGGTCTGTGTATTCCCCCAGGGGTCCATGTACCCAACTAGTACAGAGGTCGGCCTTAAAGTGCTCCCTAGATAGGTACTCTGGGGCCAACGTATATAGTATTTGGATACACGGACCCTTAGGGTTCGATCTGACTTAGCGTGGCAGCGTTTGGCGGCTCAGGGTTCCGGAAAGGAGCAACATGAAGGCAGCCAAAGCGCAAGTGGCTAAACCCTAAACCCCTAAACCCTAAACCGTGAACCCTAAACCCTGAACCCTAAACCCCTAAACCCTAAACCGTGGCCTATGCCTATGCCCAGAGTACTTGCACCAGCCAGCGATGCTCTTGTCCATATTGCTTTCGCAAAAGCCGAGGTGGCGACAAGTACCAACGACCAACAGTAACAGTGCGAATGATGGCAGTGATCGTGAGAAGTAGAACAATGGTTGTACTTTTGCTGCTGCGTCTGTTGCTGCTGCTGCCGCCTCCCCGGCTGCTCTGCCTCCTCCTCCTCAACATCCTCCTGCTGCTCCTGCCTCTGCTCCTGCCTCTGCTCCTGCTGCTGCCTTTGATCGGTCGATCCGACTTCAAGAGCTTGTTCTCAGTACTGCTCAGTCCTGTTCGTTGCTACTTCACTCGACGGTAGCAGTGCGATCGGTAATGCCGGTGCGGATAATGGTATATAATGGTATGATCGTAATGATCATGCTGAGATGATGATGGTGACCATGAGGAAATCGATGTATGGCACTGGTGATGGTCATCTGCATTGTGCGATGATATTGACTAACAGTGTGGACTTGACAATTGATGATTAAGAGCGGACACTGGCACTTGCAGTGGGGTGGTCCTAGTGTTGCAAATCAGGAGCCACAGAGATTCTCACCGAATTCTGCATCTTCTTTGTTCTTGAAGCCTGTCGATGCCGCCGTCGATATCAAGATTACAACTACAACTTGCAAGCTGCATCATACAGTGGTACTCGTAGGTAGCTTTGCAAGCCCAGAGGGTCAAAGCCTCAACCATAACCCTTTTGCGCAAACCACCCCAAACCCCAAACCCCCTAAACCCCAAACCCCAACCCCGTAATTCTCGAAAGCGCAGGACGAGTTCGAAGAGGCCTGGAACTTCTTGGTCGAGCATCTCGTTCAGAAGGTGGGCTGACTTGGTTTTAGGGCTTTGGGGTTTAGGGGTTCAGGGTTTATGTAGGGTTTAGGGGTGCAGGGTTGAGGGGTTCAGGGTGAGGTTATACGGTTTTTGGACTTTGGGGTTAGAACTTGGACACTGGAGCGCTATGGCTTGAATACCCTAACTACTATAACTATACATAGTCTTTGACTGTTGTTACCCTGCGAGAAGGTTGAGCGAGCGCTCGGGGTTTAGGGTTTATGGTTTCGGGAACAACAATCATGTGGAGACCACAGGTGCATCCTCCGGAAGCATAGGGTCCTTATGTTTGAATCCTCGTTGCTGAATCAGTTTACTATAGGGGCCTTCAATAATTACCTATGCGATTTTGGGGGCTCCTTATTATAATGATAGTATATTTTAATATGCCCCAAAGCCTTATTCAATTAAAAACCCTCAATCCCGAGCCCTCTGTTTGATGGGGTGTTGGATAGCTAGTAGTACTTTGTCTTACTGCTTCCTTCTTCTAGTTATTTCCTAAACTAGCGATGAGTAGTACTATTCCTCCGAGTCCTGCATGACAAGTGATCTTATTCGCCGCTCAGACCCTCAACCCTAAATCCTAAACCCCTAAACCCTAAGCCCTAAACCCCTTTAAACCCTAAACCCCAAACCCTACCCAAGCCAGGTGCTCGCCGAACTGGGGTTCGGTCCGCTGGACATCATTTTCGCGATTGGGATGAGCGCCACGCGGCTGAAGTTTTGGGTTTCTGGGTTTTGGGCCGTATTATGTTTAGAGTTTAGGGTTTAGGGTTTATGGTTTAGGGTTTAGCCCTAATTTTGAGAACTACCCTAATGGCTTAAGTTCAGTCGGCTTGGAGGCCCAGAGCGTTGGGATTTGTGGCTGGAGATACCTGAGCGATGAAACCTAGACCCAAAACCCCTAAACCCTAACCCTGAACCGGAAACCCTAAACCCTTAACCCTGAACCGGAAACCTAAACCCTAACCCTGAACCCGAAACCCCAAACCCCAAACCCTAAACCTAACCCTAAACACTTAGATGGTTTTGGAGGGTTCGCGTCTTGAGGAGGGCCTGGGAGTTTGACTGGGAGCTTCAGTAGCTGACATCGAAGACCTCAAACCTAAAGGGGCTTAGGGTTTAGACTTTAGGGTTTAGACTTTAGGGTTGCCCCACACCCTGCCTGGTGCCTCGAAATGGCCCTTGAGGCACAAAGCTCTTGGAGTGTCCCTGGCCTTCTAGACCCTAAGCCCTTAACCGTAAACCCTATCCCGAAACCCTCAACCCTAAACCCTAAGCCCTTAACCCTAAACCCTATCCCGAAGCCCTAAACCCTAAACCCTAAACCCTAAACCCCTAAACCCCTAAACCCTAAACCCTAAACCCTAAACCCTAAACCCTAAACCCTAAACCCTCAACCCTATTCCGA